TCCAGCCCCTCCTCCTCAGACCCAGGAGTCCAGGCCCAGCCTTCCTCTCCTCAGGCCCAGGAGTCCAGGGCCCCAAGCCCTCCCTCTCAGACCCAGGAGCCCAGGCCCCAGCCCTCCTCCTCAGACCCAGGAGCCCAGGCCCCAGCCCCCAGCCCCTCCTCCTTCGAACCAGGAGCCCAGGACCCCAGCCCCTCCGCCTCAGACCCAGGAGCCCAGGCCCCCAGCTTCCTCCCTCACGCCCAGAGATACAGGGCTCAGTCCCTCCTCCGCTCAGACCTAGGAGCCAGGCCCCCAGCCCTGCCAGCCTCAGACCCAGGGGGCCCAGGCCCCCAGCCTTCTTTTTTTTTTTTTTTTTTGAGACAGAGTCAGTCTCTTGCTCTGTTGTCCAGGGTGGAGTGCAGTGGCATGATCTTGTCTCATTACAACTTCCACCTCCTGGATTCAAGCAATTTTCCTGCCTCAGACTCCTGAGTAGCTAGGATTACAGGCATGTGCCACCATGCCCGGCTAATTTTTGTATTTTAAGTAGAGATGGGTTTTCGCCATGTTGGGGCCTTAAACTCCTGACCTCAAGTGATCCACCCACCTCAGCCTCCCAAAATGCTGGGATTACAGATGTGAGCCACCCCGTCCGGCCGGGTCATCTCTTCACCTTGTGTCAGTAGTCTCTCCTGTCACCCTGTCTGCCTTCAGACCCACTCAGCCTCCCAAATGTGGGATCTCGCATGAGCCCCCCGTCGGCCTGGGTGCTCTTTCACGCTTGTTCAGTAGTCTTCTCCTTGTGCCTTGTTGCTGATGGTTTCCTCTAATGGCTCTCTAATTGCCACTCCCTTGTGGCTCCCTGCACCACTGGATTTTGCGCCCAGGAATTACCTTCCATTGTTTCCTCTGTGACCCACCCTGTCTAAGTGTACCTTCTATGGGGGAGCGTGGAGGGGAAGCAGGGAGGTGACTTTCTGCCCCAGGGGCAGAATGTGGGCTCAGCTTTCGCGTAGTCCTCTTCCAGGCGACCTTTACCACGCTCTGGCAAGCCTCGGTACAAGAGACCAACTCACGCGGGGCCCTGTGGCCGCTGTGTGCCCTTGGGCCATGTGACTTATCCTCTTTCCATTTTTGCTCAGTTTCCCCTTCTGGTAGATGGGTTTAGTACCTACGTCGCCGGGTTATTGTTGAAATTAAGATTATACATACGATGAACATGAATGGGTGCCTTGCACATTGTAGGCGTATATTACGTGTTAATTTCTTTTTTTTTTTGAGCTGAGTTGCTCTGTCGGCCAGGCTGGAGTGCAGTTGGCGCTCTTGGGTCACTGCAAGCTCCGCCTCCCAGGTTCAAGTGTTCTCTGGCCTCAGCTCCAGTAGCTAGACTGACATAGGTGTGCCCACTATTGTGGCTAATTTTTTGTATTTTTGTAAGACAGGGTTTTTACGTCGTTAGCCAGGAAGGTTCAATCTCCTTGACCTTGTGATCTGGGCCGCCTCGGCCCTCCTTCACAGTGCTGGGAATATACAGTATTGG